GTTAAGAATTGATTATGCTGATCAGCTGGGTCACAGTGAGTAGTTTAATTATCAATAAAATTGAATCAACAGGGTTTACAATTTTAAGTGAACAAAAGCAATTTTCTATAATAAGCTTTTAACAAGTGTAGCTTTCAAAAACAGTTTTAGTTTCAAAGTTACATGTCAACAGCCCTTAGATCTGTTATAATAGATCTCTGAGAAGTATAAAGAAGCTCTCTGACCTTGTTAGCTGATTAAGAAAGTCAATTTTATAATCACAAGTTATAGAACAAGTGTAAATTTAACTTAAATTGTATTGCAATAGCTATATAAATATTCAGAACCTGTTCCTTATCTGTGTAACAAAAGATTAATGACTCAAATTCTCAAAGCATGGTGTAAATAGTTCTCCAATCTTTCAAGTATTTCATAAGATACTTCTAAGTGAGATTTGCAATGTTTTATTTCATCATATTTTTCTCGCCCAAGCCAAAATTCAATCTTTTTTTTTAATAAATTTTAATGTAAAAGTGTGGCGGCGGGATTCTGAAATGCCACTGTTCCTCTACTGAAACCATCCGAAGATGGAAGAATTGGACCTGAAAGAAAGCAGACATGGTGTCAAAGATTTAGAGACTGAGGATATTAGCTGTAATGGTCTGTAAGTCCAAGAATCAAAGGGAAATTAGGCACATCTTTGTCACCATGAAGGAGCCCTGGTAGCATTGTGCCTAAGGCATCTGACTGCTAACCAGACGGTTGGTGGTTCAAAACCGCCAGCCACTCCATGGAAGCAAGACTGGGCAATCTAATTCTGTAAGATTTACCACTTCAGAAACCCAATAGGGGTGGCCATGAGTCAGAATCGACTTGACAGCAGTGGGTTTGGGTATTTTTTGGTTTGTTACAATGGCCATCATGGATTGCTAATTGCATCCTAAAGTCCTTTCAACTTTGAGCTAACAACCTCTCCACTTCTCACACTGAGATGGAAATGAGACATTACTGCCAAATCAGCAGACGTGAAAGCAGATCAAAAGTAGAGACAAAGGTTTTATGATCAGTGGAATAAATCATCACAGAGGACAAATATTGTATGATCTCACTTTTGAGATAAGCAAACATATAGAAACCAAAGATTATCAGTGGTTACCAGGGCAGGGAGGCAGGGGGAAAGGGCAGATTTTTTTGGAGGGGGGGGGGCACTGAGGTTACCTTAATAGTGATGGACTTTTAGATGCAGACAGTGATAACTGGGGCACAACATGAGAAATGCTATCAATTGAGATGCAAATATGGCAGTAGTTGTATGGGCAGATGTTTTGATGGTTACACTTTCACTTCAATACCAGAACAGGAAAAGAAAAAATAGTAGGGGTAATTTTCAAAACTAAAATAGGAAATGGAAAAATAATAATAGACATTAGATTAGAAGATGTATTGTTTGGTTCCATTGAATAGGCTCAGACTCATAGTGAACCCTGTGTGTAACAGAACAAGATACTGCCCCGTCCTGCATCATCCTCACAATAGTAGGTATGTTTGAACCCATTGTTGCAGACACTGTGTCAATCCATTCCATTGAAGGTCTTCCTCTTTTTCACTGACCCTCTACTTTACCAAACATGATGTCCTTCTCCAGGGATTGGTTCAAAATAAGTGGGACGACATCTTGCATCCTCAAGTCTAAGGAGCATTCTGGCTGTACTTCCACCAACACAGATTTGTTCATTCTTCTATAGTTCACAGTATATTCAATATTCTTCGCCAACACCATAACTCATATGAATCAGGCTAGGAAAGTACATGGAAGCCTGAAAAGTGGCCATAGAGAAAATCCTGAGAATGTAAGAGAGTTCTTGTGACAGCCATCTTCATACACTGGAAAATCAATTTGAGTCAGACTGAGAGAAAAAAAGCACCAAATCAATTCAATGTGCAAACCTTGGCCTCTCCTCAGTGGTCATAAGCTTCTCTCCCCTCCTCATCACTGATTTACTTCCTTTGTAACTTGACAGGCAGCAAACATTTGCAATGAAAAACCAAACATTTCTAAGAGAATTCATCCTACTGGGACTAACAGACATCCCAGAGCTTCAGACTGTAATTTTTATACTTCTCTTCCTTACATACATATTTAGCATCTTAGGTAATCTGACCATCATCACCCTCACACTACTGGACACCCACCTCCAGACTCCCATGTATTTCTTCCTCCGGAATTTCTCCTTCTTGGAAATTTCCTTTACAACCACGTTTACTCCTAGGCTGC